ATATTAAGTTTTGTTGTCATGCCATGGCCCAAAAAGCGTAGAGAATTGTCGGTAAAGCAGAGAGTTCGCATAAAAGCTTTACGTGATGCTGATTGGACTCTCCGTCAAATTGCTGCAGAATTGAAATGCTCTCAAACAATGTCAAGTACACCCTAGATCGTGAGATCGAGACAGGTAAATTTGAAAATAGGCAAGGAAGAGGCAGAACACCTAAACTCAATGATACTGATGTTAAGTATCTTCGTTTATGCAGCCTTCAAGACAGAAGGAAGAATGCCACTGATCTCAATCATGAGATAAACGACCATGTATTAAATGACAGAAAAGTGTCCAGATATACAGTATCAATAAGACTCAACGAGAATGGAATATTAGGTCGTGTAACAGTTAAAAACCTTTACTTCGATCTTTAAATATTTTCAAGAGAATGAAATGTGGTAAAAAGTACAAAAATTGGACTGTTGATTATTGGAAAAGGGTGTTATGGACGGATGAGTCCAAGGCTGGTTTGGTTCAAAGTGTAGGTTGTACATCCGGCGGAAGAAAGGTGAAAGATATTTACCTCAATGCACAGCACCTACCATGAAGCATGGAAGAAGCAGTATGGTGTTTTTTTTTGGGGGGGGGTGTTTTCTGCTGAGGCAATAGAAAATATTTGCAAAATAGATGGAATAATGGACAATGCAAAGGAGGGACACACAAAATATTAACTGTTTGCTCAACTCAAGCACTTCCACTCAGTTTCTGCTGTACTAAATATGAAGCTTGATAACATTTTGATGTTTCACCAGTGATTTACCTTCCATTGGTCTTTGAAACTAGCCTGAAATTTTATTTTTGACTTTGTCCTACAACTTTTCCACACTACTATAGCAAAAATCTCAATGCGCATTCTTACATTAAAACCTAAGAAATTTAGTGTTAACATCTACTTTTGAAAAAGACTTCTTTTTCAATATGAATTTTGCAAAACTAAACTTGGAACCCAAATATACTTGAAAGAGGTATTGTGGAGTGTATTTAGTTAACAGAAATTACAGCTGTACAGTGTGCATGTTTTCAACTTGCAAGTTTTTTAGCGTTTCCAAGAGATGGAAATTCTTATTCGAAACACCACATGCAACGTGTACATTTTAGTGTTAGTTGGAAACAGTGCGTGAAATATCAGTTTAGGTAGAAACCTGCGAAATGTACACGAGTGATATATCACCATTAGGTGGAAACTTGATCACTGGTCATATATGATATATAAGTGTTAAGTGGGAACTTGATTACTGGTTACGTGTGATATATCAGTATTAGGTGGAAACTTGATCACTGGTCATATATGATATATCAGTGTTAAGTGGGAACTTGATTACTGGTTACGTGTGATATATCAGTATTAGGTGGAAACTTGATCAATAGTCATGTATGATATATCAGTTTAAGGTGAAAACTTCATCACTGGGCATGACTGATTGTCAATGTTAGGTGTGAACTATACCTTTGATTACGTGTGATATATCATTGTTAGGTGAAAATCTGATCACAGGTCATGTATAACATTTCAATGATATGTGGAAACTCAATCATAGGTCATATATAATATATCAGTGTTAGGTGGAAACTTGATCACTGGTGATGTGTGATATATCAATGTTCGGTGGGAAAATTACCATTGATTAAGTGTCATTTATCAGTGTTAGGTGTAAAATTAATCTCTAGTCATATTTGATATATCATTGTTAGGTTGAAATTTTATCACTGGTCATGAGTGATATATCAGTGTTATGTGAAAACTTGATCACAGATTATGTATGATATATCAGTGTCATGTGGAAACTCAATCACCTTTCATGTGTGATATATCATTGTTAGGTTGAAATTTTATTACTGGTCATGGGTGATATATTAGTTTTATGTGGAAACTTCATCACCTGTCATATGTGACATATCAGTGTTAGGTGGGAACTTTACCATTGATTACGTGTTATATATCAGTGTTAGGTGGAAAATTGATCACTCGTCATGTGTGATATATAAATGCTAGGTGTGAACTTTACTACTGACTACGTGTGATATATCAGTGTTAGGTGGATATCTAATCACAGGTCATATATGATATATCAGTGTTCTGTGGTAACTCAATCACTGATCATGTACGATACATCAGATGTAGAAACTTAATCACTGGTCATGTATAATATATCAGTGTTAGGTGGGAACTTTACCATTGATTACGTGTCATAAGTCAGTGTGAAGTGGAAACTTGATCACTGGTTACGTGTGATATATCAGTGTTAGGTGGGAACTTTACCATTGATCACGTGTGATAAATCAGTATGAGATGGAAACTTTACCATTGATCACGTGTGATAAATCAGTATGAGATGGAAACTTTACCATTAATTACGTGTGATATATCATTATGAAGTGGAAACTTGATCACTGGTTACGTGTGATATATCAGTGTTATGTGGAAACTCAATCACTGGTCATGTATGATATATCACTGTTAGGTTGAAATTTTATTACTTGTCATGTATGATACATAATTGTTAGGTTGAAATTTTATTACTGGTCATGGGTGATGTATTAGTGTTATGTGGAAACTTTATCACCTGTCATGTGTGACACATCAGTGTTAGGTGGGACCTTTACCATTGACTACGCGTGATATATCTGTGTTAGGTTGAAATCTGATCACAGATCATGTATGATATATCAGTGTCAGGTGTAAACTTAATCACTGGTCATGTAAGTGTTAGGTGAGAACTTTCCCATTGATTATGTGTGATATATCAGTGTTAGGTGGAAACTTGATCACTGGACATGTAAGATATATCATTGTTAGGTTGAAATTTTATCACTGGTCATGTATGATATATCAGTTTGAGGAGAAAACTTCATCACTGTTCATGTGTGATTGTCAATGTTAGGTGTGAACTTTACCTTTGATTACGTGTGATATATCAGTGTTAGGTGGAAATCTGATCACAGATCATGTATGACATTTCAGTGTTATGGGGAAACTCAATCACTGGTCATGTATGATATAACATTGTTAGGTGCGAACTTTACCACTGATTACGTGATATATATCAGTATTAGGTGGGAACTTGATACCTGGTTACGTGTGATACATCAGTGTTAGGTGGGAAATTTACCATTGATTACGTGTTATATATTAATGTCAGATGGAACGTAATCACAGGGCATAAATAATGTATCATTGTTAGGTGGAACTTAATCACAGGTCATATATGATATATCATTGTTAGGTGGAAATTTTATCAATGATCATGCGGGATATATCAGTTTTAGGTGGAAACTTGATCACAGGTCATGTATGATATATCAGTGTTATGTAGAAACTTGATCACTGGTCATGTGTGATATATCAGTGTTAGGTGGGAACTTCATCATTTAATATGTGTGATATATCAGTGTTAGGTGGAAAGTTGATCATAGGTCATGTATGATATGTCAGTGTTAGGTGGATACTTAATCACTGTTTACGTGTGATATATCAATGTTAGTTGAACATTTGATCACTGGTCATGTGTGACATATCAGTGTTAGACGGGAACTTTACCATTGATTACGTATGATATATCAGTGTTAGGTGAAACCTTATTCACTGGTTATGTATGATATATCATTGTTAGGTCGAAATTTTATCACAGGTCACGTGTGATATATCAGTGTTAGGTGGAAACTTGATCACTGGTCATGTGTGATATATCAGTGTTGGGTGGTAATGTTATCACTGGTCATGTGTGATATATCAGTCTTAGTTGGAAACTTGGTTACAGGTCATGTATGATATATCATTGTTTAGTGGAAACTTGGGCACAGGTCATGTATGATATATTAGTGTTAGTATTTATGACGTTTACCATATCACTCTACCTACTTGGTAGACAGATTCCTTCAAAGTAACTCTTTCCGAAAGATGGTCTGAGATCATACAGGCGATCAGCACTAGTATATCGAAGGCCAGTACAGTGCTGCCTCTGATAGTCCAGATTAAATGCTCGACAGTCAGTAGTGATGCGGCACTTCTGAAGACACTCGTAACTAATGCCTGGGGATGATGGACTTCCTTGATAAAGAGAACTTCCTGCTACAGCAACGAGTTCATAACCTGTGACCTTGTCGTAGGCTAGCTGTTCATTAAATTGGCATTTCTGGCCTGAGAGACAGAATTAAATAGCTATAGAGAAAGTTGACATGTTAATGTTAATGACATTTTGTGTATGTGTGTATTACATAAAAAAATAAAATCAAAGTATTGGAGTAAGAAATTGAGAAATGGATTTTCTTACAAGATCATATTGGCATTTTTTCTTTCAAACTAAACATTTAATTTACGTTTCAAAGTTGTGTGCTTACAAATGACCAAGTAAAAGGTAGTGAAAGTACTAACAGTTTATATGATCTGTTTGTTTGTTTGCAGTTAAGCACAAAGGTGCACAATGGGCTATCTGTACTCTGCCCACTACGGGTATCGAAACCCGGTTTATAGCGCTGTAAGTCCGCAGGCATACCGCTGTGCAACTGGAGTGCGACCAAGAATGAGTAACTATACACTAGTTAGTGAGTAAAAATGTGAAAGAATTTTAGTCAATAATTACTGAGTTCATTTTCAGAATTATCTATAACGGAATTGTCCCCGTTTAAATTATGTGTAATTTATGAAACACAGAAAAATAATGAATTAACTGAATATAACTATATCTTAGTTAAAGTGATGCTATACATATTGTAACACAATTAATACATTTTATGTAATTGAATTTGTCAGTTATTACGATATTCTCGGTAATATTTGAATGAGTTCTGTTTTATGTTGTTGATTACTTGAAATTATACAGTTTATAATAATTACAGAGGAAGTTAGATTTTTATTATTCATTATTCATAACTTGGGCAGAAAGTGACTTTTCTCTCGTTCATTAGCGAAGTTGTTATTTCAAACAAAAATAACAATTGTTACATTCTATACTTTTTCCAATAACACTGCTACATTCACTTCTAGAAATCAACTTATAGCAAGTAACATGTAGAACCTGAGTATAGAAGAAAGCGAACGCTAAAGATCATTTATAAATCAAGCTACTCCAAAACGAAAGATCAAGATAATTTATCACCTGGAGGAGGTGTAAATGTGGGCGTGGGTGGAAACGGAGTGTATGATGAGCTTGGGGTGGGAGGTCCAGTCTCACATTTTCTTTCGAAATAGTTGATTCCTGAACGTCCCTGAGCAGCGTCTTGACCAGCACTGGCTGTATCGTCTCCACTGAGGAAACACTGTCCACTGCTGGAGTAGAAAGCAAAGGAACGACAGTTGAAAGTCGAGTAGGTGGTGCAGGCGCGCTCGCAGCTCTCCTGGGTAATGATTCCAGAAGTTTGTACAACATCGGTGTATGTAGGAAAAGCATTAGATGTTTCCACGTAGTTACAAGGGCTGGCTATAGGAGAAAAAATACACATGATCAGTAGTTACAAGGGCTGGCTAACTGTATT